AATTTACATTAAATAATGATCTGTTAATCATTTGGTGTAACGGACGGAACACGAGGTATGCAAATACATATGTTGACAGGCAGTTAGGAAAGCTAATTAAAACGCTCGGACCGAGCGTTTTGATTGGACGAACATTTCTTGGTCCTACACCTTCCACAGAATATATAAATACAGATAAATACATTTAGACCACTTAACTTAATGATTGCTATCGGGATGTGAAGAGACTTTCAACCAGCATAACAAAAAATGTTTCTGAAGACAATCACCTATTATACCTTTAAGTTCCATGCATGTTTTTGAAAACACATCTTACATTTTTAAAGGAAAACATTGTCTGTTTTCACCATTACTCACTGTGGTACCATTTAAGCCCACTTTATGTTTTTCAATGAGGAATCCCTCTAATTACAAATATTGATACATTTTCTGAGTGAAAGTGTTTAATAACAGTTCTTTGTGTGCTTTTACCTTACTAACCTTTTACCTTAACTTACTTATTACAAAGAGGCCTACAAATTACACACTGTTTAGCACCATTATATAATAGATGTTTGCTAATGTGTATCATTTGTTTTCAGCGAGAAAATGACAAAAAAAAAAAGAGGAAAAAAAAATACCTGTCCAAAAATCATAGAGGCATGTCGCCTTTATCATGAGGGCACAGTAAAAAAAACTTGTCTATACCAGCAAAACAGTTTGGAGTAGACAGAAAGTCTTTGAGGGAAAAAGTGAAGGCCAAGATCAGAGTTAATGCTTATCAGGTTGAATAATATTGGTACAGGTGATGAGCGTTATATAGCAAACATTAGTAAAATTACATTTCTTTTTAAACACGTCACTCTCACTAAATAAATATATTGCTGTTTTATTTCTTTAAACTCAATAAATTTTAATATTCTGTGAATAAATCATGATGTGGGCTTATTTGGAACACACGCGGGCTTAAATGGTGCCAAAGTACCAATTAAGCCTATTATTCATAAAATATTTTAGTTTTATATTCTAAAATGTACATCAACTAATTAATACATTTTCAAACAAGAGATAAATATTGCATTTTAACAAATGATTTTTCTTATGAACAATGTCAATATCTATGAAAAACACCTAAACTTAGATTTTGGTGGGCTTAATGGGTACATTTTTAAGCTAATAATAATAATTTTGACCCTTTACTTGACCACTTACAACAACCCAACTCAAACAGTACAACAAAATTAATCTTAAGATATTATGTCCTAGCCCATCTGATTACAATATCCTAAAATAAATATATTTTACACATCTAATCTATAGCAAAATATAACATTCAATTACTTATATGGCACAAATAAACTCTTCTCAGATGATCTTGACAAATCTGACAAAAAATATAAAAAGGCAATCACAAAAAGATGAAAAGAAGTATAGCAGGAAGGCCTACACTATTCACATAAAATGTTGTGTAATTAAATAACTAAATTTCACTAACCAACTACCAAATACATTACTTTTAAAACAGATCAGATGATGCTAGACTGTAAAATAAATAAATAAAAAAACTGCTGCATTACATATATTTAATGAACCTACACTCTAAAAAGTCCTGGGTTATTTTTTTTAACCCAAATGCTGGGTTGAGCCTTTTGGGTAATTTTTTGGGGTTATTTTTTCAGTGTTTGGGTAGTTTTTGTGTTACCCAGCTCCTGGGTCAAATGTAACAACCCAGTGTTTGGGTTGTTTTGCAGCTCATGGGTCAGAAATAACAACCCAATGTTTGGGTAGTTTTTGTGTTACTCAGATCCTGGGTCAG